AAAAAGTCAAATTAAAGGAGAAATCGCTTGTTCAGAAAAGCACAAATTCTGGTGACCTTGGCGAGAGCTGACTGAAGCATCGACCTCGGCGTTACCCAATCTTACTCCTTAATCATATCAGTGAGCAACTGGGAATGAGTTTAGGGGCAAACTCGGCTCTGACGTACAGTGCCAACGTAGCCAAAGTCCAGACAGCAAGGAGATTTCCCTGTGTGATGGCTCCAGGGTGAAAGCCCCACTGCAATATGGTTTATTTCTGCACAGCCGAGGTGGGCGACGCTCTCCACTCCCAAGTTGAAGTCTCTTTGCTCAGGTTAGCAAATTTATTTCCCTCAAGACCACCAGGGAAGCAGAGCAATTAAAAGGAGAGTTATTTATTTTCCTCTCCTGGTTGAGGAGCTAATGCCTCTACCACCTGCCTGCTGACACCTGCAGCTGCTGAAAGCAGAGGCCTCGTTTTTCCCCTCCCCATGACACACCTCTTAATCGTGCAGCCCAATTGATCATAGAATCATAGAATCACAGAATGGTTTGGGTTGGAAGGGACCTTAAAGATCATCCAGTTCCAACCCCCTGCCATGGGCAGGGACACCCTCCACTACACCAGGTTGCCCAAAGCCCCATCAGCCTGGCCTTGAACACTTCCAGGGATGGGGCAGCCACAGCTTCTCTGGGCAACCTGTTCCAGTACCTAAAATATTTATATTTATAAATATTTTGGTTTTCCGTAGGGCTTTGTGCAACTTAGTTGAAAAACCTCATTTCTTGTTAGCAAATCCAAAAAAAAAAACCCATGGCACCTCTAGCAGTGCAACAGGTTGCAGCGATGTAGGAGTCAGTTATCACTCACGCTCTCAAATGAATGTATTCTACACTGTGGCCAAAAAAAGACTGCACGGTGTCCTCATCATGTTCAACATATCTGTGTTTTGTTTCTGTTTAAAGTTTGCCCCCAAGTCTGGCAAAAACCTCATATAGCAGCCAAATGCTTTCAGCAACAAAATCACCTCCTGAGTACCACGTGCCCCACCTTACTCCTGGAAATTTTTACAAGAATTTTACTCCTGGAATTTTTTACAAGAAGACAGACCTGCTGGGTTATGAAAACCCACCCACGAGTCTGCAGTCCTGCCCATTAATCCCAGTGCTCTGCCCTCAAGTGGCCTGCAGCCATTCAAGGATCTCAAAAGTTTTTTAAAGGCAGCTACAAAACATCATCCCTATATGATACGTGGGGAAACCGAGGCAGCGCAGCACTGGGTGCCCACGACACGCACGCACGCCGCAGTGGCTGGGCTAACTGGGACAGCCCTGGTTAGCCAAACAGGCAACGAAGAGCATGGACTCTGTCCACAACTCTGGAGAAAACTCAAAACCAGCTTTGTCAAGAAGATATCGCATTGCACTAAGGTGGTGAGGGCTGCTCCTAATGAGATATTTGCTTTACTGTAACGCAGCACAAGAGGACTTGAAATAAGAGGTTCTACATTCCACTGGTGTAGTGGAGGGTGTCCCTGCCCATAGCAGGGGGGTTGGAACTGGATGATCGTTCAGGTCCCTTCCAACCCAACCCATTCCATGATTCTGTGATTGCTGTGCTGTTGCATCAGCACTTTGCACGCTTGCTGACCGAAGGCCCTGCAGAACGTGGAGAAGAAAAACTGTTTCTCATTTAACAGAGCCACAAGAAGCCTGGGAACACTCTGGTGTTGGGCATGGAGGGGGAAAAAAAAAAAAATCTAGTGCCTCGGACTGGAGAGCTGCTTCACATGTGGAAATGCAGAGCAAGCAAACCCCAGGGGTGACTGGGCTCAGCCAAATCTTTGTGCAAGGCTTCCTGAAGGCCAAGGCCATGTCATGCTTGGGAGAAAAAAAGCCAACCTTATTTTTAGCCTAACATGAAAAGCATTAGTATTTTATCCATAGAAGTCTATGGATATTAGTATTTTATCCATGAAATGGAAGCAGAAAGCACTTAAGTAACCTTTGATGTTAAAATATTTAATTTCCAACTCTATCCCACCCCCAAATAAACAATATGCATTATAAATGCAGCTGAAGGCTTCTCTGAAGCGAGAGCTTGTTGCTTTTACTGCTGCTTTGATGGCACGTGCAACATTAGCAGCCAAACAGCTGGCAGATCTTTTTATTGGCCCTTCTATACGCTCGCACGCTCTGCGCACTGCAAACCAGAGAAGTTTCTCAGATGTCTTACTGGATTGCAGCAACCTGTTCTGGTTTCACATCCTGACCTCATTCATCCACGCTCGCTTCTCTCTCTTTCTCTCTCTCGTTTCTTCCCAGCACTCCACCAGCAACAGCTCGTTGTCTTTGTTCCTTCCCCAGAGCCCACGTGCTGTGGGTAGGGGCACCTCCAGCTTTGCTACTCAACGGCCTCCCTCTGCCCAAGCAAACCTCCACACAGACGTCTCCTCCTCCTTGTTTCGAGTCCCAGGCACTTCTCTTGCTGTTACTCAGCTTAATTACTACAGTGACGGAGCCATAAGGAAGTCAGATAAACACAAACGTTTTGTTTGCCAGCACAAATTAACTCAGAGCTACATACCCCTGATCTTTTGACGGTCTTTCATTCTACTTTAAAAGTAAAATGTTTTAATTTTTTACTTTCCATTTCCACGGGAAACTGATAATGACAGAAAACAAAAGCTGCCTGCGAACAGCTCTTGCAGATGCCACCTTTCGCAGTGGCTTAAAAATCCAGCAACTAAGTTTTGTCTTGTGTTGTCATGGATTAGGAACATGATCTGTCACCAGTGGATTTCTTCATAAAATTTTATGAGAAGTGTGAGCTTGTCTGATTCCACCTAAAGTAATGGAAATGGTGTTTTGACCAGAATGTGATCTTTCCGCAGAGCACAGAGGAAATCTGCACATCTTTACTCTACTACAACACCTCTTTGTATGTTTCCCAAAGTCTCCAACCTTTCCATCTTGCTACTCCCTCTGGAGAAACTGGCTCTCAGCCTTTAAAATTTCTTGTGGTGCATCAGACAACGTATCCAGAGCCTCCTGCAAAACATACTCACCTGCATTCAGGTCCTTCACCTCAGGGGAAGGAGAATTCCCTACAGATGATCCCTCCCATACCAAGGAAGCTTCCCTGGGGTAGTCCTCTCCACTTTCTCTTAGCAACAAGGAGGTCAGCAAAGGGCTGAACCTAGAGCAAAAGGGAGTTCCCTGCATCTCCAGGGCAGGTGACATCCTGTCTCCCTCAGAAGTATCGCACTCAGGGTCTGATCTGGAGTTAAGCCACCAGCAAGCTCTCCTCTGCTCCAATCCACAGCAGAAAACAGAGGAGGGAACCAACTAGAGCACACAAGAAATGTCCAAGTAGGATAAGCCAAAGCAGCATTTCACAACGACCTTCCTGACTTCAGTGCCTAAAAATCACCACAAAGCGCAGAACAAACAGCCACCCTGCGCACGGTTTATGGGAGGTGACAAAATCAGCTCGAAGGGGAACGTTCCCAGCACCCTGAGCTCCAGTCCTTACTGGCGTTTCTACCACTGCATGTGGAAAATAAGCATCAATAACAAAGCTTCACATCTAACTACTCTCTGAGCTGTTACAGTCCCACGGGAAAGAAAAGATCTAACGCATCCCCTGGAGATGTAGACATAAGCTGCAAAGCAAAATAACAGACTGCGACTGCAAGATGCCAAACGTCTCTCTCCCTCTCTCTCCAGTTCTGCCAAGTTTCTGCCACGTCTGGTTGCTTACCTGGGTCATCTTGTCCACCGAGACGGGAATGCCGTCGATGGTGAGGGGTGGCAACTCCGAGTTAACCTCCTGAGGCGCAGGAGCATGCTCCGCTAGCGCGGATTCCAAGTCTTCCAGAATCATGCTCTTGTACTTGCGTACCTGTGGGGAATTGTTAAGCTCAGGTAAACAAGGTAAGGAGCACCAGGAGAGGGGAGGGCAAGGACACAGGGCCAGCCAGCTTCCCCAGGGTGCTGCAGAACAGAAGGAGCAAACAACTCGGCAGCTGGCAAGAGAAAATACCCACTGGCCCCGAAGACTTGGCCGCATCGAAAAGCTGATGATGAAACATCAAGTAACACTGGCAAGTGGAAGTATTTACGGGATTAAAAGAAAAGTTCTGAAGCAAGGCTTATCATGGTCAGGATCTGCTCCCTTTGCTGTCTGGTCTGGAACAAGGTGCAAGCACTGACAGCCAAGTGGAGTTCAAACATGCCATCACTACCTGCTCCCTCTGATTTTTAACCCAGGATATTCAACCCTGGTGAGATGTGCTGGGCAACCATTCCTGCAGAGAAGGCAGGATGTCAGTGCTACACTCGTGTCCATCCCCTCCCAGCTCCTGTTTCCAGGGTTTTAAACACGACCCCCAGATCACTGCCAGGCTCGCCAGGCTGCCTTGAGCAGAATGAAACCTGCAGAGAGGGCGAGACGTTCAGTACACAGCTGTTTCTCCAGACACCTACCACATTCTCCAAGGGTGCAGCACCGAATACTTTGAAGACAGGGTTGGGTTTGGAGGGCGAGATGCACAGAACGATGGCCTGCTGCCCCACTCTGGTGGTGTACTCATCCAGCGTGGCTCGGAGCTTCCTGAAAGAGATACAAACCAGCCACCAGGTATCAGCTGAAAGCCCTGCAGAAACACAACCCTTCGCACTGCAAAGTCCCTTTCTATGCTGCCCATTCACAAACCAGGTGAGCAACGGAGCCCCAGCTTAGGCGCACACACCACTTCTTCCTCCGCTCCCGCAGGCCTGCTGCGCTCCCTGCAGCCACCCAGCAGCTCAAATATCAATTGTTCTCCCTTCTCTCCTTTTTCCAGTGATGTAAATAGAGAAACTGCAGGAGCAGCAAAGCTACGACAGCGAGAGTCTGCATATCCTCTCTGTCACTAAGTGTATTAGCAATACGAAACTCGTCAGGTCAAGAATTTGAACGACTCGACAAAAGAGGACCGCAAACACAGGTTGTCTTACATCCAGCCTCACAACAGCACACTGCAGTCCTCCAGTACCAAAGTCCTGCTCAAAGCAGAACGGTAAGAATTCAACCCACAACTACAGGACAGGCAAGAACTAGAAATATTGCAACAGCCCAGCACAGAAAACCCGTGTATCCAGACACCTGCCACACTAGCAAGTCCCTCTGGAATGCTGTCTCTGTAGGAAGAAAATGTTCCATCATATATTTTCTGCCTCTTATTCACTCCTAAGCCATGCAAGAGAATGTGTCAGAAACGTTGGCAGAAACTCATAAAGCAAGAGAGAAGTAGCCGTTATCACCAGTTAACTCGAGCGTTGCCGTAAGGTGATGGTTTAGTATATGTCCTGGTCATTCAGAACCTGTGGTTAGCAGCAGACACGTTGCCAAAAAAGCACCAACGCCCCCACCAGCTACGCAGAGATCCCAGAATCGGAAACTGTAACTTCCCACTCAATTCACAGCGGTGTAAATACCGAGCACAAACACGATAAACTGATCAGAGTGCAAACATTTTGCATTTTGTCAGTAGTGTGTAGTTAAATGAAGCAGTTGCACGAAGGGAGAAGAAATAATTCCTTTACAGAGGATTTTCTTTAAAAATATATTGTTCACATTTCATGAGAGAAAAGAATTTGCTCTTCAGAAATGCTGCAATAAACATGGTTGGGTCAGCAGAGCTGGGAAAACCAGAGTGAAGCTATAAAAGAAAGGGAGTTCACTCCTGTGGAACATTATTTAACACTAACCCTGCCACATTTCATTCCAGTTTGATCATGTGCAAAGGGTGCTGTGCGACTCAGAGGATGAGTAAGCAGAATATAAGGAAACCAACTTCACTTCTCACCAACTTTACAAGAGTTGGAATAGGACAGGGGGAGAAAAGACGAAACTCTGGCCATCACTACCTAGCAAGTAATGGGCTGACAAATACTCCAACTCTCACAAGACAACCCAATTCAATCCAAAACAGTTGAAAAAGCAAAAATTGCCTTGCTCCAAAACTGAGTAAACAGTACCAGCTGATATTTAGAAACGTTTCCTGAAGACGGAGTCGCAGGTGCTCCCTCCAGGCTGGCGGAAAGCCTGCGCAGCCACTTCAGCACCAGTGCTCCTAGGTGGCCATCAGGTGGGCAGACAGCCTCAGAGCACCTCTAACGCAACACCTCAAAGGCTACGGAAGGTTGTTGTCTACAGTGCAAGGTTCTAAAGCCAAAGAAAGTGTTTCAGCTCCGGTAGGTTTCTCCCCTCGATTATTCCCCCCCAACTGTGCTGGGTCAGTCTTCAGCGTGGAGGTCACACAACGAGCTCTGCTGGCAAAGGAAATCCAGGCACACAAACCCTACATTTATTCATGGGATTGTTTCATAATGCAGAAAAGACTTTTTTTGTTAGGCAGATAAGCCCTTCGTGCCACTGCAGAGCTGGGATAAAGCTGTAGCTCCAAATTCTCAAGCCAGCTGCTGTTAAAGCCACTATGAACATCTAGCAAGGCAACGTTACCATGACGGATTTAACTTGTGACTAGCTGGGGTTAAAACAGAACAGTGGATCCCACTGGAACGGTCATGTCAGTCCCAGTGATTGGAATATCACATTAAAGATGAACAGAGCTGCAATTTAACCCATTTCTGCAAACCAAAACACAGCTCTTGGGTTCCAGAAAAGAAGCCCAAGAAATTCCCAAGCTGGGCAACTTCTGGACAGCACATGGTCTCCACCACGCACGGCACTGGAAGTGGATGGAGACACCTCGCAGACCAAGGTGTCAGAGTGCAGGTGGGAGCCCTTACCGGAGCAAACGTGTCTGCTGCCTCTTGCGGATTGACGGGTTGGATTCAAAAACGTGTGGTCGCTTTCGTTTTTTACCCGTTGCCACGGCAGCAGCTGCTGCCATCCCCACAGGGCCTGGAAATCAAACCACAAAGGGTAAATCAGCACACACAGCTCAGGAACTGGCCAGAAAGGACATTGCCATTGCCCCCTGCCCAGGGATGGGTCCCGAGGGCTCAACTCAAGGCCTTCCCACCAGACCGGAGTGACCCAAATTCCCTGCTGAGCCCCCCGGCATCCAGGATCCCTCCTCTCCAGCACCGAAGGTGTGTACCTAAAAGCCTCATTCCCCAGACTGGCAAATCCCAGCTCAGTCCCAGGTGAAAGTCACATATTTCAGTCCAGAGTCTTCCTTACAATCACATAATTATGTATTTTATCTTCCAAACATACTGAAAAACTCTCAGGTACATCAAGACTTTAAATAACTGATGGCAAGTGAGGAGATTCCGATGGCAGGGGAGAAGAGAGCGAGCACTGCGCCATGCATCCTGCTCGGACGTCTCAACTACAGCATCGGCAGAGTGAAGCTTTCCCCAAGGATTAAGGACCAGTTCTAGCAGGAAAGAAACTGGGAATCCAGAGTTCCCAGCAGCATCCTACAACAGCCCCCCTGAAAAACAGATGGGGATCACGGCAGGACCGCGCTAGTGCTCTCGTGACCAAGCTCTGGGCACAGGGTCTATGTAAGGGGAAAGTTCATTAAGTTAATTGGAATTAAACCAAGTGACACGCAGCAGATTGTGCTTCCATCGGTGACCTCCAGAAACGTGTGCAGGGCCACAGTCAGAAAGCCCTGGGGTCTAACGCGGGCTCAAGACTTTGCCTTTGACTCCTGAGCAGACCTCAGTTGCTCTGTGTGTAGTTTCTCCGTATGTCAGAGGTGAAAGATCACACCAGGGGTCACAAAAATCACCATATTTTTGTGTTTAACAAAGATGCAGCTACTGGATCGGGAAGTCCTAAGCTACGAAAGTAGCACTGGATTGTATGTTTTCTCTAGGCAGCTGCTCCAGGAGATGGATGCTGTAATGGAGAGAGCTGTGGGGGACACTACAGAAATGGGTTTTATTCATCAGTAGCAAACTACCTGAGCACTACCCACGGTGGGCACAGCAAGCACCACTGCATGCTGCTCCAATGATCCTGTGCTTGTGAAAAAGGAATAAAAACGTTGCCTTTTGGGGGACTGGAAAAACATTCACTCCGGAGAAGCGAGGGAAGGCTGCGCTGGGCTCTCGGGCAGGCTTGGGGCTGGACGTGCCAGCCCATGCCACGAACTGCAGCCGCCTGCCCTGGGGAAGCACAGCCATTCCTGGCTCGGGGTGCCTCACTGGCCAGGGGCTGGAGGGGCACTGGGCAGCCCCCGCACCAAGAGGGCTCACAGGCAGGTGAGAACCAACAGATGACCCTCCTGCAACCACCACCTGGGACCGAAAAGCTTGTGTGCTAGAAGGGAAGGGGGGAAAAAAAAAAAAAGTCTTGCAGGAGCTGAGGTTGGAAAGTTAATAAGCGAATAAATGGTGTGGGATGCTCAGAGGGGTGGTGGAACTTCCCAGGTTCGCTCAAGCACACCAAGAGCTTTCTTCCTCAGATGAAGTCCGAGAAGGAGTCAGACAAGTCCATCGGCGCTTCTTTCACTTATGATATCACTGCTTTTTTCTACCAGTGAGGTAGATCCGCTACAAAGCAAATCTGGAGGACAACTGGCAGGGCTTTCACTGGAAGGAATTTGTAATTCTGAAATACTTTCCAAGTCCAGATACACCAAGACCCTTTGTGGCATCCCCTTGGGACAGGCCTAGCATGTCAGCTTCCTGGCTAAGCAGGGCTTTTGCTGTTGTTTAGACGGGCCCGAAATAAGCTTGCTCTTTGTGATATTTGGTGTTTTAGTTTCGTTATTTGAGGCATCACTTACCAGGGACCTTTTCTAATTGTACAAACCAGCCTCTTACTCCCAGCACCTCCATATTACAACGCAGATAAAGCAATGCAAGACTCAAGCAGCCAGCAGACCTTGTGAAGAAGGGCTATTAAAGCCAGGGCAATAAGGAAGCAACCAGAGCATCCCGTGGGGTGGCAAGATCACCTGCCACCCTCGAGCGCTGTTTGCAACCTCTGCATGAATGCTGGGTTCGGTGAACGATGCCGAGCATCCCGTTGACTTTACCTGCTGCAGCCAGGTGAGCGGTGACCTCGTCGGCAGCCGTGGAGTTGAGGATGTCAGAGTCATCGTAGGAGGTGTCCTCCGGCGAAGACGGCGAGTCTTCGTCCGCGCTCAGCATGCTATGCTCTGTGTAGGTGGCCACATGGACCTGCTGCACCTGCTGGGCCACTGCGTGGGCCTCGATGGTGGCCATGTGCTCTGTTTGGGTCACCCCGTGTTCTTCCATCAATAGCTACTGTCAGAGGAGACAAAAATCACAGGAAGAGGTTACTGACATTGACACACCATAATGGAGGGCAGCCAAAGGCTTCTGAGCCAGCTAGGGGAGCAGGCCATGGCCAAGAGGCAACAGAGATTACCTCCCTCAGTGGCAGTGGTCTTCTGCAAGAGGGAAATAACAACTGCACCAGGAGCCAGAAGAGGAACTTGAAGTTTTAAGAGTTCTGAAAAATCCACACTTCCCAACAACGTGGCGGAGCACCCAGAGGCAGTCATCTTTGCTGGAGGAAAGGTCTTTAGGGATCTTTAAGCCCCAAGTCTATGTGCCCCCCCCACACTACATACCATAGGGTCTGATCAAAGCTGGAACTTACATTTGCCACTTCCAGATCTAGCTCCCGGGGAAGACGCTCAAGGGCGAAACGCAATCTCTCTCCTCCAGCCTCATTAGGGCAGGACACAAACGAGGATGCCAGTACAGAAGTTTACTGGCAGCAAGTCGCGTTCTGCAGACCACTCCCATTGCATTACTTGGTCAGAGCCCAGAAGGAGGCAAAATCATTACAACCCAAGCACAAATATCACATAAAGCATATTTATTCCATGCATCTAGTGGTAAACCACTGAGCAAAGTAGCAGCTTACGTCACTGGACCGCACGCCACGAGCATAAATCTGTGCAGAAGGAACAAGACAGGAGGTAAGCAGGTATTTTCAGTGTGTGTCTACTGTATATTTGTGGAACAGCACATCCTCAAGATATTTTCAAACTACATTAGAAGAATTAGGACATCAACCCTCAAAACAGATTCCCCCAAACCCTAAGGGCAAACAGCAGAAGGAAAGAGATGACCAGCTGCAGAGAACAATCAAATATATCCAGCAAATTCTGACCCTGTAAATATAGCCATGGGATTAAAAGCTCTTGGTTGACACCTACTTCATGGAAACCTGTCCAGGTTGTCAGGAGGAGAGAGCAAGGAGCACGGACACAGGTGGTCTCAGACACCTGGCTGGGTAACTGCTCTATGAACTCAGGCAAGCCATCACACGCCGTTTTATCCTTCAAAAACTTTCAACAGGTTCTATCATCCATATCATGCCTTAAATACATGACACTGGGCAAATGATCAACATGACAAACACCTCAGCCTGGCAAAATAACCACCAGGCTTGTACTGACCATAAAAAAAACATACATCCTGATGACCAAACCATGGAACACCATAACAGGACTGATGCGACACTGGGATCCAAACCAGGAGAAAGCACTTTGTCAAGAGGGTTCTTTTGACCAAATTAACCAATAGTCAAACACGAAGAAGGAGCAACTAATCGAGACATGGCAAGAGAGAAACTATTACAAAGGTGGGATGCTCCATGGAAGAAACACAGAGGACACCTCAGCTGAAGCTGCTAACACGTGGGCAAATAGGAACAGAAGATTAGATGGGAGACAGGAGGCGTCTTCCACCAGCTGGTTTCCAAAGGCTTGTTTCCACGTCTCAAAATGTCTTCTGCAACTTAGTGAACTCACTCTTCCCTCTGAGGGTGGTGAGGCACTGGCACAGGTTGCCCAGAGAAGCTGTGGCTGCCCCATCCCTGGAAGTGTTCAAGGCCAGGTTGGATGAGGCTTTGGGCAACCTGGTGTAGTGGAGGGTGTCCCTGCCCATGGCAGGGGGCTGGAACTGGATGATCTTTGAAGTCCCTTCCAACCCAAACCGTTCTGTGATTCTACAATTCCATGATTACTGCCCCAAGAAAGTGAGTTTCTTGTCCATGAAACACTAAGAGATCCTCTAAAAGTTCCTAAATAGTATGGATGGGAAACTAAACTCAACTTGGACCATGAACAGATGTTTCTCAGTTTCTGTCTTCTATCTAGGCATGCGCTGGAGAAACTCAAGCCTGTAGGGCAGCAGAGTCCTGTTGTGAGACTGTTAGGAACCTCCTGAGGTTACGGCTAAATCCAAATTCCCCTCGAACTCACAATTCTCCCTAAAAGGCTGCTAGAGTTAGATGTTGCTGTTGTCCAACGCTGTTTACAAGTCAGAATGTAATATTAGAATCATCCAAAAATAGCTGCAATTCAAATACCGCCAGTAAGGAAGGGACTAAGATGCTAAAGCACATGGAAGCAAACGGAAAATTTCTGGCTTAAAAAAAAAAAAATCAGCTGTTCCAAGCAACATATTTTGCCATCACCATAGAAGAATGGGGGAAGAATAAAAAATAATAATTTAAAAACAAATCTATATTTCAAGCAAAACCTTAATGAAATATCTCAGCAGGCCAGGCTTTCCCAAGCCACCGTGCTTTTTCTGAACAAGTATATTGCTGCTTTTCTCAATGAAGCAATAAAACTTCAAGTAATTTCCATCAAAATTAAAAAAATATATATTTTTATATGGACAAATACAATCAGAATATAACTGACAAAGCGTAGTAACCTTTTAGCTCACCAGGAGACAAGACTGCAAGACAATGGAAGCTTCAGATACTGTTTCCTTCGGAGGGAAAGCTGCTGGAATTCGGGGCAGACTACACTCGATGCCACTAAAACCGAGGCTTTTTTATAAATAAAAATCGGTAGCAGACTGAAACTGTGCAGTTCTGAGTCAGCAAGTGGACAGCTGGGTAAGCAACATCAATACTCCTCACGGGCAACTATGCAAATCTAAACACGATCTCGGTTTTACGGGCACGCGTCCTGCTTCATTGCACGGCACCTGGTTGAATTTTGGCCTTTTTGGAAGAGTTGGCTATAAGCAATGACTGGGACAATCAACAGCAAAGTCGTCATGTTTAATTAAAGATGAAGTTCACTTGATTCAAAGACAGGCTAATAACCATCAATCTACTACACACTTTCCTCTTTCCATCGCCTCCCGTCCAAAGCACACGCTGCAACGTACGATGGTCTCACTTGCTTCCTCGGTGGCACTCAGATTTCCTCACCCTTCAGCTTTCCTGCCTCGGTAAAAGTAGGTGTAAGCTGGAAAAAAAAAGGCAATAAACTATCACAGCTCTTCAGTAAAGGGTATAGTCTGCCCAGCTGCGTGCACAACATCACCACAAGTTCTAGTAATTCCTTTCCAGGTTGTAACTTGGATTAATTCTAGTTTAACCTGAGAGCTGTCTTCATTCAATGTGGGCTCCAAGGAGAACTTCCAGTACCTAAAGGGGCTACAGGAAAGCTGGAGAGGGGCTTTGGACAAGAGCGTGTAGTGACAGGACACGGGGCAATGGCTTTAAACTGAAAGAGGGGAGATTTCCATGAGATCTAAGGAAGAAATTCTTCCCTCTGAGGGTGGGGAGGCACTGGCACAGGTTGCCCAGAGAAGCTGTGGCTGCCCCATCCCTGGAAGTGTTCAAGGCCAGGTTGGATGGGGCTTTGGGCAACCTGGTGTAGTGGAGGGTGTCCCTGCCCATGGCAGGGGGGTTGGAACTGGATGGTCTTTGAGGTCCCTTCCAACTCAAACCATTCCATGATTCTATGATTTTCCAACTTCTGCGCTATTGTCATACCTGCATATTTTCCTTCCAGAAAATTTCCAAATGCCTCCAGAAACATACACTGAAGGGCACTGAGCCTCATCTTTGAGTGTTGAAACCCTGGGTGGTTATTCATGTATTCAAATTACTCCCGCAAGATTCCTGACACAGGTCAGGTTTTGTGGGCAAACACCTTGACTGGCAGTTTTTGCTGGTGGTTACCAACCTGTTGTTACTGTTGCTGCCCTGGCAGCAAAGCATCTCTGTTACGCATCCGAAGGGTCCGTACTTGGATTTGAACAGCAATTCAGGCACACAGGATGAAAGGAAAGTTGTTCTTGACTGATTTTAGAGATGAGCATTCAACATTCCAGAAAAGGAAAGTTCATTCCTGTTTTTCCTCAGCAACCGGAACAGTTTCAGGTGTAAGGAAACCCAAATGACATGCTGATGCCTGCAGAGACATTTCCTGGTAGATGTAGCTTAGTCCAGAAGCCTTGGATAACAGCCAGAAGTATTTTTAAAGTCATTTAAAGTGCTTAAAAAAAAAAAAAAAGAGGATAAAGTCCATCTCATCACACAGTGCAGTTGCTTCATAACTGTGTCAGGGGTTCCTCTGATCATAGAATCATAGAATGGTTAGGGCTGGAAGGGACCTTCAAAGGTCATCTAGTCCAACCCCCCTGCAAGGAACAGGGATATCTCCAACTAGATCAGGTTGCTCAGGGCCTCGTCCAACCTGGCCTTGAACGTCTCCAGGGATGGAGCATCCACCACCTCTCTGGGCAACCTGTTCCAGTGTTCTACAACTCTCATGGTAAAAAATTTTTTCCTAATATCCAACCTGAATCTACCTCCCTCTATTTTAAACCCATTACCTCTTGTCCTATCA